CCCAGACCTTTATCAATCCTGGAACGCTACCCAGTAAAATTCTACACTCAGTGCTGACAGGGAAGGGCTGTGTTATGCAGACAAATCTTCACGAGGCTAGAACGAACAGACGAACGAACAAGTGAGTTGTTTCCTGCAAAAGCCCCTTCCCCTTTTGCTTCTCTTTTAATCCTGATGGGAGGGGCCATTCATCATCCACCTGTGTCTTTACTCTGCTGACCCCGAGTTCTTAATTGTCCCTTCCTTTTGGCAGCTCTGCATATGCGCAGGCTGGGAACCAGTTCCATTGCTGTCCGAGCCCGAAGGCAGCTGATGACTGCCAGTCTGCCCTGGCCCCACCTCTGCCTCTAATGCAGAGCCCTCATCCAAGCCTTCCTCAGCCTCCAGGACTGGCCCGGGTTCCTCCCCAACCTCCTCACTACTGTCCAATGCTGCTACCAGCTCAGCCAGCCACTGGCGGGCCACAACAGATATGAAGGGAATGTTTCATGCAAAGATGGGCATGATAAAGGACCAAAATGGCAGGGACCTAACAGAGGCAGAAGAGATTAAGAAGAGGTGGCAAAATTACACAGAACTCTACAAGAACAAAATTAACGTCCCTGATAACCACGATGGGGTGGTCACTGACCTCAAGCCAGACATCCTGAAATATGAAGTCAAATGGGCCTTAGAAAGTCTGAGCAACAACAAAGCTAGTGGTGCTGGAGAAGACTTCTGCAAGTCCTTTGGACTGCAAGGCGATCAAACCGGTTAGTTCTAGAAGAGATCAACCCTGCCTTCTCTTTAGAAGGCCAGATCCTGAAAATGAAACTCAAATACTTTTGGCCACCTAATGAGAAGAAAGGACTCATTGGAGAAGAGCCTAATGCTGGGAATGACTGAGGGTAAAAGAAGGGGACGACAGAGAACGAGGTGTCTGAATGGAGTCACTGAAGCAGTTGGCGTGAGTTTAAATGGACTCCGGGGGATGGTAGAGGACAGAAAGGCTAGGAGGTACATTGTCCATGGGGTCACGATGGGTCAGACACAACTTCGCAATTAACAACATCATTTTAATATGTAGTAAAACTATATGCTATAATGGGATTCTTTTTTGGACTATCACCATTTAAGATTTAAAAAGCAACATGTATTTATATAAAAAGATTCTATGATTACACAAAAAAAACCTTCAAGCGGGGTTTTTATCCCCTGCATACATGAGTTGCTTTATATCACCCACAATACACCTACACTCCTGGAAATGTTTACTGTGTAAGAAAGAAGCAGAAAATGTGGGAAAAAATATTGTTGTTGACATTGTTAAATTCTAATCTTCAAAATGGTTATGCCAGTGGGCTGGAACATAGGCTTTCTATGTTCTTTCTAGTGACACTGTGCACCCCAAAACAATGAGAAATGTAAATGTCATTTTATTTTCATCAGTGTGATGACTTGCCAGAATGCATTCCTACTGACTCTCACAGTAGGAATGAAAGTCTTCCAATGAAAATAATTACCAAATTGAAACACATGGATAGGAGAATATATTTAGAAATTGGACATTAAAATGAGGTTTAAAAAAAATGCTGGGTGAAGTGAGGGAACAGAGAATAAATATAATAGGAAAGGATGTCCTATTATTTTTCAGAAACAAAGCCTAATTGTGTTATAATTTCTCAATCATCAACCATAGCAAGAGTACTGTACAGCGTAAATGAGGAGTTTCCAGTAGCAGATATACAACTCCAGGATATTAATTGCACTGACTTAATTTGGAGCAATATGATGGTATCTATGCATCTTTAGACTAATTCACAATCTGAAGAGGACCCATGGCATTCAGTATAAAGGAAGAACACAATTTGCTGAACAATCCACTCAGAAAAAGCAGCAACATCCCTAGAGATGCCAGTGTAGCATTCCTCCAACATGGTGCCTTTAACAAATTGATACCATAACACCCATGATTCTCAACCAAATCAAAGCAAAATCAAATGGTCGTATTTCACAGTATGCTTTATTTTATATGATTTACTGGAGTAAATTTTACTGGGCTTCTATTTAACATTCACTATGATAATTTTGTTCGAAGAGCTTTAAGGACTCTTAACAATCACATAGATTTTCTTTATGATGGTCCCTTACTCAGCTTTCCAGGCCCAATGGTACAATAATCACCACTGTAACTACGTCCATCTGCCTTGCTGCTTCTGTTTTCTTCCATCTTTCCCATCATTAGAGCCTTCTCCAGAGAATTAGTTCTTCACATTGTGATTGAAGTAGGATAATTTGAGGCTGGTCATGTACATCTCAAGTGAGAACTCAGGACTGCTTTGTCTGGGGATCCATTTGTTTGTCTTCTTGTCTGTCCATGGGGCTTCATCAGGAGGAGGTAGCAAAAAATTAGTAATTTGTATATTCTTAACCAAGCTTGGGTCCCCACATGACCTTTTTCACATCTCCTACAGTGCCTGATAGGCATCATGCCAGTTCAAAAATATAAAGATCCCTGCCAAAATACACAACAGCAGTCACAGAACATACAAGACAGATCACTATGGCCACCAATGTGTATGTTAATATGTACACCAATATCCTTATACTTAATCGCTTTTCAGCTAATGGAGTGAACATAAATCATGTGCTAATTGTAATTGCTGAACAAACTGAAACAACCTCATCTGCACAATAATACTAAGCCATAAACAATCTAACCACGTTATAGCTTAATGCAATGCATGAACCCAGCTACTGTTTTGCCAATTCTATTAATGAACAATGTTGAGGCCAGGAAGTGCTTTAGACAATAATTTCTGCCTTGACAATAAACATTCTTGCATGTTATACTCTGCTCTACAATATATCCCAAAATGCTATGTGCTGATTGGAAATAGAAAACATTTGAAAGGGGACCTCCAAATAAAGACAACATGATCCATATTTTCCAGGCCCATTCATTAAATCTAAAGGCTGTTCTTCCCTTAAGTGAAAAGCTACCACACTTACTGCCTGTACTACAACCACTCAGTCCTGTTAGAACTAAGCAGGAAAAAAAATCATTTGCACAAAAAAATTTAACAGTTAAGTGCACTTTAACTCTCTCAACGGTAGCACAATTTACATCCCAAAACTGTCACTGTTACTACATTCTTATTACAGCTTCTTTTTCAGCTGCCATGTACTTCAGAGAAAGAAAATTTTTTTTGAAGAAAAGTGCTCAAGTTTTAGTGAATTAGTTCACTTAGCTTTAGAGCAGGGGTATCAAACTAGACGTCACAGCGGCATCACATGATTTCCCCCCCTTTGTTAAATTGGGCGTGGGCATGGCCAGCACGTGATGCATCCGGCCCAAGGGCCTCGAGTTTGACAACCCTGCTTTAAAGGATTTCTTAGAAAATTGAGCAGTACTATATAGCCCCTGAAGGATCTCAATATTTATCTGGAGTGAATATTATTCCAAATAGCAGATTAAAACTAAATATATCCATTTTGTCAATCATAATTTAAACAGATTAATAAATGGTTAATACATAAATTAGTATATCAGTAAAAGCAGAGTTTTCATTAGAACAAAATATTCCTTCTTTTCATTTGGATTATCTATCTATCTATCTATCTATCAATCAAACTTGGAGCAGCACAGTAGTGAAGATGCTGGGCTTGTCAGTTGGTGGGGTTCGAACCCGAGTGCTGCTTGACAGGGTGAACTCCCGTTCTTGCCCTAGCGCTGCCAACCTAGTAGTTGAAAAGCATGCAAATGTGAGTAGATAAAGAGGTGCCATTTTGGTGAATAAGGTTACTGTGTTCTGTACTTTCATGCTAATGGCCACATGATGACAGAAGTGTCTCTCAGACAACACAGGGTCCCTAGGACAAGAATCAGAGGTGAGCATCATCTTTTTAAGTCAGTCAGGACTGGACAGGGGAAAACTTTAATTTTAAAATTAAACTTAAAAGCCGTCCATCTCCCCTAGAAATTAAAATATTTTCTTAATTCTCTGTCTGATCAGTGGCATAAATATTACCTATAAAATATTAAAGCAAATATTTTTATATTTTTGTGATTTGTTCAAAAAAGAAATGAGTAATATGTGTAATACAGTAACACAGGCATGTAAGAAAGATTCCACAAAGATCCACTGAAGAAATATGCATATAATATGCCACTAAGCAACAGTGGAAGACAAACTCATGAGAAGACTAACTAATGGGAAGACAAACGATTTTTATTTTCTTCAGGTTGTTTGAAATGTTTTGAATAAAACATGAATAAAATATATAATAAAACTTTACACTGCATTAAGGATAACAATTTTAAGTTTAAAATCCCATGGAAGTCTTATAACTACAACCTTCACCAGCATGCAAATTAAACACAACTCTTAGTAAATGCTTTTTTTGTTCTAAACTTCAGGGTTAAATATATTGGCATAAGCTATTGGCCTCTAACAAATAATAGCAAAATGTCATGTCTCTTTTTGTTTCTGTGACATTAACATACCTCTTAATGACACAGAGAAGTGTGATTTATTCCAAGGCTGTCAGCCTGAAAGTATTTCAGAGGATACCACAAATATATATATATATATATATATATATATATATATATATATATATATAT